ATCACAATAAATTAAAAATGGATTAAATGGCCATCATTTATTGAAGCAATAAAACCATAGCGAATCAATTATAATCTATTAATTTTAACTTTTAAAGAAAAAGCCTATGATACATTATTATAATCGACTTTTTTCACTTTCATGAGATGCAAGTTTCAGTTTCGCCGCACACAGAGTCTTTGCTCATTTTAAACTAAAATTGGAAACTTTTTGTAGAATTTCATTTTTTATGAGTATCTTTGACTCTGTTATTCGTTTTATCTTACACAGTTTTGTTACTTTTTACCATTTTTTAAATTATTTAAAAACTTGAGGGGAGGGTGAAAACTGGAAATATACCAAATTTGAGAGGAAGCGCGGTAAACAATTGCAGTTTTGGCCAAAATCTTACAAAAATAGTATCCTTGACTTACATGTATTTCCAAAAAATGGAAAGAGGCAAGCGTTGTCGTGGGGTGGAGGGATGGGCGTAGGAATGTGGGGAAAGACAGGACAAATCTGGGGAGGAGGGGTTGGGTGAGAGATTGGACAAAAAAGGGATTATATAGAGATTTGGGAGAGCTCAGAAGCTCAAATTGCTCGCCCTATAAATTAAAAAAAGTCGACAAAAGGTGACAGTTATTATGTGTTCGGGGTGTTTCTTTTTCTCTTGATTATTCAAAAAAAATCCTGGGGGAAATTTAAAGTTAAAGTCTGCTTTCGAATCATGTCGTGTACTTTTTTTACGCCTTCTTCCGTTTTTGTATCTGAAAAGCGCAATTCGCCTTTACTTGTAGCAGATGAATTCAAATCGAATTCAAAAACTGCGCATTTACCAAAATGCAATCATAAAGTTGCTAATCTGTATGAATACACTACTGCAGTTATCAGAGCCATTTAACTCCTTTTCCTGAAGAAGAAACAAATAAGTGGGCAAGACCTATGCAAGAAGCTTCACTACATTCATCTATTGCCAGAGTTTATGACTTGAACTTTACACTACTCGTCGGTTTCTTTTTCTCATAATATTGAGTTAGTAGTATTTTTAAAATCAGTCTTAAAATAGGGCTACTTGTATCAGAGTCAAAACTACGAAACTCCTTGGAAAGCCTCGACATGCGTGAAACTACTTGGAAAGCCTCGACTTGCGTGAAACTCCTTGGAAAGCCTCGACATGCGTGAAACTACTTGGAAAGCCTCGACATGCGTGAAACTACTTGGAAAGCCTCGACATGCGTGAAACTCCTTGGAAAGCCTCGACATGCGTGAAACTCCTTGGAAAGCCTCGACATGCGTGAAACTCCTTGGAAAACCTCGACATGCGTGAAACTCTTTGGAAAACCTCGACATGCGTGAAACTCCTTGGAAAGCCTCGACATGCGTGAAACTCCTTGGAAAGCCTCGACAGGCATGAAACTCCTTGGAAAGCCTCGACATGCGTGAAACTCCTTGGAAAGCCTCGACATGCGTGAAACTCCTTGGAAAACCTCGACATGCGTGAAACTCCTTGGAAAGCCTCGACATACGTGAAACTCCTTGGAAAACCACGACATGCGTGAAACTCTTTGGAAAACCTCGACATGCGTGAAAATCCTTGGAAAGCCTCGACATGCGTGAAACTCCTTGGAAAGCCTCGACATGCGTGAAACTCCTTGAAAAGCCTCGACATGCGTGAAACTCCTTGGAAAACCTCGACATGCGTGAAACTCTTTGGAAAACCTCGACATGCGTGAAACTCCTTGGAAAGCCTCGACATGCGTGAAACTCCTTGGAAAGCCTCGACATGCGTGAAACTCCTTGGAAAGCCTCGACATGCGTGAAACTCCTTGGAAAACCTCGACATGCGTGGAGACTTGCTTTAGAATTGATCAGCGTTTGATCATTTTTTCATCTGACTATTTCATTATAAAAACGTCCAGCATTAAACAATTTTTCATGAATAGTATAGACTCCTCGCACTGATAAAAATGGTTTAGGATCAATTTTAGCAGAAAAAGTATTCACATAAATTGTAATGGATTTGGATCAAGCGTAAATCGACTAATTGGTTCATCTTCAAAAAAGGGAAAAAATCTCTTTAGAGGAATTTTGAATCAATTCATGTTAATCTCATCAAAACTTGAAAACATTTTCATTTTGGACCTATTCTATATCAACTTAAATCCACCTGTTTGTCTCTATGTAGCTTTGTTTATGAGAGATTTCAAATCGATTGAATTTAATTTTATTCTTTTGCTAATTTTATCTTTTGCTTTATCTTTTCTATTTAAATTATGGTTGGGATGTTTTGTGTAAGCTTTTCAGTTAACTAACTCTTTGATGGTGATAAAATGCGAATTATGTACAGCGTGATCATTTGCTCGAAATGAGTGTTTTTATTTTTTTCTGGTTCCTCCTTTAAAAAGTCGGTAAACTGCTAACTACTTTGGTGCTCGGGGTGGGTTTTTTTTTCTTCAGATAAATTTCGACTACATTTAACAAGCCATGTTGACAGAATTTTTTTAATATCATTCGAAAGCTATTGTTGTCTTGCCTGCATCCAGTTTGAAGCGTTAAAAATTGATTTTACTACCAGTTTTACAAAAATTGAGAAAAAATTGATTTTAATCAATTATAACCTCTCCTTTTGAAATCAAATGAAATCAATTAAAATACATCGATTTTTTTATCCGAACTGTCAATTCATTTGTTTTGCAGGAAAATCCTTTATATTAGATTATAACTGATTTTAATCCCTTTTGTTTGCCCATATTGTCTTCGACCTTGTACATGATTTGCTTGTTTTATTTGCTTCTCGTAGATATTGGTTTATGTGAAATGGGAAAACTGTTTTAACAGCTTTCAAATCAACTCATGATGTTTATTGTTTACACAAAAATCGTTTAAACATCTAAACTTGGCCATAATAATTAATTATAATTCTGATAAAAGTACAGTTATGATTGTAATAAAATCGATTAGTTTCTCTTCTTACTGGAGCGGGTGAGCTTACATTTGAAAAGATATTTAAATTGTGATCATTTTTTGTAAAGTTATGGAGGTTTAAAGATTGCCTTTATGGCCAATTTGGGACAAATAACGCGCGATATATATTGCGCTAATAAGGCGGAAGCGGATGATTTAATCTGTCTTAAAAAATGCTCCAAATTAGTGCAAGGATGCTTATATGCCAAAATTGATTCGTTAACAGGAGCAAAATCTATCAATTTGTACTTAATATAGCGTGTGCAGGGATGTTTTCTCAAAAGTTTTCATTTTTTGTTTTTGTTTTATTACATTCAAATTTTTCGTGTTATTACTGCTCTATAGACCTTAAAAGGCAGTCGGATCATTCAGAGATTAGCCCTGATATGAACTTCAAAATCATCAAGGCATTCCCCGGAACTAAAAAAGTGCGGTGCTCAAACCAGCTTGATACGAGTCGGATGATCTTACAGATAGTTCCAAATTTCACTCAATTTGAATTATAACGATACCCGGGTTGATCAAAAATGCGTATCATACAATTCTCATAAATTTCTTTTCATACATTTTCATACAATTCCATACGTACAGAAAATTGTATGTAAACTCTATGATAAGCCTTTTCCCATAAATGGAAATGGTATGACAGATATTTTCTCCATAAACCAAAAAGTTGTTTTTTGTTCTTAAATTTATTTTCTGACAAATTTTCGGTTGTGTTTGCTACCGAACACAAGTGACAAAGACCTTGGTTACTCAGAGCACTAAAAGTTGGACGGTCTTGCATTTACAATGCATGGAAAACGAGCTGAATTGCCTTCGAAGTGTCTTTCACAAATGATATAACAAAAGTAACAAACTTTTAATTTTTGGCAAAATATTTCAATGTTGATTATTTTAAATTTGAGAATTTTCAAATTATCAGTTATTGATCAAGACATACATAAACACGCCTTACAAAAGAAATAAGAATTATCAGCGTTTTTGAAAAAAAAATTCAAATGAAAAGAAAAAAGCCAATATTATCGTATCCAGGACTACGTTATGCACACAAAAAATTAATTTTTGCATGCAAAAATTTTTTTTCGGAAAATATTTGTTTGCGTACAAAATTCGATTTTCGCATAAAAAACAACGAAAAATTTTTTTGGGCAAATTTTCAAAACGTTTTGGAAAAATTTTTTGTGTCGTATATGGAAATTGTATGGTAAGCGTTTTTTTCAAAAACAAAATTTAAAATCAGTTTTTTTTTATTACCAGTCTGTTGAACTGTCCTCAAAAAGCCGCAGAAATGTTTTAATTTTTTTTCTATTGTTTTTCGAAAATGTATGAAAATTGTATGACAAGCATTTTCTCTATACACTTGATGTATGGAATTGTATGATAATGATTTTTGTTGTCTGGAATTGTATGATAAGCATTTTCGGTGTATGGAGGTCAACCTGGGTATATTAGATGCTTAAATCAATTTCATATTGTCTGAAGTTTCATATCTTTTCAATCAATTCAACTACATTTTTTTCCTTAAATGAACATAGTGTATTTAATTAGTTTGAGATGAACAAAAAAACTACTTTCAAATCTTCAACCGTTCCTTATAAATTCCGATTTACAACCCGCACTAACAAATCTGTGATTGAAATCAACGTTTATAAAGATATAGTAGCCAGCAGCATGAAAATGCGCTACTTGCAGCTCATTTGCATACTATATAAACAATTTATTAACTAATTAATTAACATAATTTAACACAGAAATTAAAAGTCGAGTTCACTCAGCGCTTAATCTCTCACACCAGCTGGGAGTTGACTTTCAGGAGAAGGAGGGGTTTGGGATATAAACGTACTTGAGGTCCGAACCGGCGTTGTCATTCCAATTATCATACAAGCTATTATCAACTAAAGGCTATTGGTTTATCTCGCCGTAGATATTTTCTTAATGGTAGGTTATAATAGTTAAGAATAACCTTTTGAGTTATGATTACAATGCGTATCTTTCTTTATACTTTGTGTTACCTCCTAAGTTGTTATCAAGACATTGGACGGTGTGTGTCTTACCTGGCGTGCGGGGTCGTGGACTGCTCTCGCCTGGCCTCCTCTCTTGGCGCCTGGCCTCACCCCCCTCTCCTTCACTCTCGTCCGATGATGAAGGGGGTCTGATTGACACCCTCTTGTACTGTGTCCTGTACATGCCCTGGGGTGGGGGAGGGGTGCCAGAGGCAGTGGCAGTGGATCCGGCCGTGGACCCCTTCCCCGTTCTGGACGAGGAGGAGAAGAAGCTTGCAGGAGTGTGTAGTTGTTTTCCAGAGTGCAGAGACGTCGAGTCCTCTTTGGAGTTCAAACTCATCTGACTGTTGCCTACAGTGAACGCTAGTGTTTTTTGTCGAATGCAATTTCACGCAATAATCTTATAAATTTGCAATAATCTCTATTCTTCATTCGCAATACAAAACATGCTATAAGACAGGGGTGGATTTAGAGGGGGGGGGGGGGCTGGACGCTTTCCTCAGGGATTTGACCCCCTGCCGACCCAAAGGGCCCCCCTTTGGTACTTTTTAAGAAATCCATTTTCGGCCGACCGACCCTAAAACTTTTCTAACGGCGCCTTGGACGCCAATATATACAAGCTTTGAAGGATTTTTTTTCGTGAAAATTTTCCAAAAGGTGCCAAAAAACGGCTTTTTTGACCTGTTTTTTCAAAAATTTGCCTGCGGCGCGTGCAAATTAAAAAAAAAACAAGTCAAAAAAGGCCGTTTTTGAAAAGCAAAACAGATTAAGACACTGAAAAAAAAACTGTCAAAAAACCGTTCAAAAAACCGTAGAAAAACAGGTCAAAACGTTTTTTTTTTTGGAAAACTATGAACAAAAAATTGCGTCTTTTTTGGCGCGCGCTCCTCTTCAAAATTATTATATCTTAACGCAATCGATGGATGTCTTAAAATAATCCCAAAGGGGACCCTTTCGTTGGTGAGGGGTCGAATCCCTGAGGAGGAGAAAACGTCCGCAAACCCCCCGCTCCCGGCCTAATTCGGCACCTGGTTTTAATATTGATCATTAGCTTAATTGAAATATCAATCTTGATTTAAGTCGTGGCCTTCCCTCTTTCGGCTTTGATTATCAGAAATATGTATCTGAAAAACACATTTCGAAAAACGTTTGATTATCTTTTTTTAAAATAGGACTGATTCAAATATTCACTTGTACCATTGAAGTAGTAACTATTTTAAAAGACTGCTTGCAGGAAGCAATTGGTGATCGAAATCAATTTAAATTTGATGCGAATCTCACACTCTTATCTTTTTTGTGTCCAAGGAAAAATACTTTCATAATGAAGTGAGAAGTTTTTTGCGCAGCTTTCAACCAGTGAAATCTCTAAAAATGCTCAATGGTTTTGAATGTCGTTAAAATCAAACTTACGAAGGATGCTATGCAGCTATAGTAAGCGTTCTGATGTCAGGGTTTTTGAAAAAGAAATGAAGTTTTCAGCAAAATTAAACTGTTTTGATTTATTTTGCAGCTGGAAAAGGAAAATGGGAAATAGTTATTCATTGTCTGGACAGGAGCAAAAACAGTATCAATTTTAAAAAGTACCAATTGAAAAGAAAAAAAATTGTTCTTTATGTTGAAATGTGAATATGAGCATCCAAAAAATGAAAAAAGTCCAGTGTTAGCAATGGTCGTTTTTGTTCGTACCTTAAAATTGTTCGAAAAACCTGTCTTTCCTTGTAATTTTTCAGCAATTTTTGCAATAAAATGTAAAACTAAACAATCTAAGGAAGTTGGAAAAAAATGGAAATGAAATAGAAAATTTTGAAAAAAAATTGGAAGATGAGCCCAAGTTATTACCCTTTTCTTGCAAATGCACTGCGTAAATCATTCAAGAAAAGACATCAATTCAAAATCAATGGGAAGATAACAGTATCAGGTTTTCAGTGTTTCAATTAAAGTGAAGAAAAAATTGTTTGGAAATACTGAAATGTAATTTTGAGTATCCAGGTATAATGAAAAAGTCCACATTATAGTCTGAAATTGAGAAAAATGTGTTTCTTTTTTTATATACGCGCCTATAAGATCAATAAAGTAATAAAGTTCAAATCTACACAGACAGCCTGAAATTTGAAAAAAAAAAACAAGCGAATAGGACAAGAAAGAATTTTAAAAATTCTGAAAATGAGCGCAAACTGTTCTTTAGTTTTTGCAAATGAAATGCAAATCTTTTGTAAAGCTTCCAAGAAAAGGCAACTTTCCAAAAAGAAAGTGAAGATAGCATGAGTATCAATTTTTAAACGAACCAAACAAAGAAAAAAAAATGTTTTGCATGCTGAAATGTGAATTTGAACATCGTATAATTAAAAAGACCAGATTTAGTCAGAAACTAAGAAATTGCAGTTTTAAACGCCCTAATTAATGTTTGAAGGTTTTTTTTTATAATTCTCAACAATTTTTGCAATAAAATTTCAGGATATACAGTTTACGGCACTTGAAAAAAAGGTAATGGGAAAAGGAAAAGAACTAGTTTTTTCCACATCAAAAAAATATCAATAAAAGGCTGGATTAATACGTAGTTTTTTTTAGTTTCAGCAAAGCCCAGAAGAAAATACTTGGATATGAAAAACTGTCGATAAATTTTCTTGAAATTCCGCAACTTGCTATTACAATTTTTTCAAAAGTGATGCTTCAAGCAAAAGCAATATACGGCCGTAGACGAAACACTAGTGGGAACAAAATTTTCTCCGGGCGGGTTCGAAGTGATTTGGGTCAGCAGGAATCCCTAAGTAAAATAAGGCATTGTCGCACACAGTTTGGGGATTTAAACAGAGTATAGATCGGAATTTTAGATGATTAGAATGAATTACCGATCCGTAAAAAGGATATTCTCCAACCCCAGGTAGGTCAGAACGTTAATGAGATAATTAAATAAAAACCTCGGGATATTGGTTAATTAAACATAACTCGATTTGAAGAAACTGTAATTGATATTTTCAAAACTTAGATATTTATAACGAATTTTGATTTAAAGACAAGTGTCGTCAGAAAATATCAGGACTTTTAGGGACGACATAACTCTAAAAAAACTGAAACTCAAATAGACAAACATTATAGAGAATAACAAATAGCCTACCCTTAGAGAGAAGAATTTTGCTGTGAGAGCGAACATGGTTTCTCATCAGTTTGAGAACAATTGGTATTGAGATTAAAAAAAAGTTGAACATAATTGGCTATTAGTGAGAGCAATTGGGTTCTCGTTGTTAGTTAGAGAAAAGATAGCGAAATTTGAAAAAAAAAACAAGCGAATAGGACAAGAAAGAATTTTAAAAATTCTGAAAATGAGCGCAAACTGTTCTTTAGTTTTTGCAAATGAAATGCAAATCTTTTGTAAAGCTTCCAAGAAAAGGCAACTTTCCAAAAAGAAAGTGAAGATAGCATGAGTATCAATTTTTAAACGAACCAAACAAAGAAAAAAAAATGTTTTGCATGCTGAAATGTGAATTTGAACATCGTATAATTAAAAAGACCAGATTTAGTCAGAAACTAAGAAATTGCAGTTTTAAACGCCCTAATTAATGTTTGAAGGTTTTTTTTTATAATTCTCAACAACTTTTGCAATAAAATTTCAGGATATACAGTTTACGGCACTTGAAAAAAAGGTAATGGGAAAAGGAAAAGAACTAGTTTTTTCCACATCAAAAAATATCAATAAAAGGCTGGATTAATACGTAGTTTTTTTTAGTTTCAGCAAAGCCCAGAAGAAAATACTTGGATATGAAAAACTGTCGATAAATTTTCTTGAAATTCCGCAACTTGCTATTACAATTTTTTCAAAAGTGATGCTTCAAGCAAAAGCAATATACGGCCGTAGACGAAACACTAGTGGGAACAAAATTTTCTCCGGGCGGGTTCGAAGTGATTTGGGTCAGCAGGAATCCCTAAGTAAAATAAGGCATTGTCGCACACAGTTTCATGCATAAATAATCGATTGAAATAAGTTTTCAATACCAGTCTTTCAAATTGGGAACATATCTGATAAAAATCATTTCATTATCAACTATAATTTCTGATTTGCGTGAAAATTTCTGTTAAATTAGGAAAAGTATTCCAATAAAGTCAAAAAAAAGTAGTGACATAAAGTCTGCATAACGATTGCTTAGTTCACATTTAGATGTGGGTACAACCAAAACGACAGCATCACAAATCAAAAAAATCTTGGCTTTTAGCAAAGGGACGACCCGGAAAACGATGAGCATGTCTGCAGGATCAGTGATCCAAAGAATTTTCCCAGACTTAGAATTCGATGAAGCGTTTACCTTGAGAAATGCAGGCAGTAAAGTGAAGGTGAAAGAGTAGTACGTAAGCAGAAAAGTAAACAAACAATCAAGTCTTAAATAAGCTCGAAGATATAGTCACTCGGTTGGCGGAAAACTCCGGCGAAGTGAGATCAGCGGCGGACCCCCCCCCCCCATGGAAACTAACGGGTCTAGCTTTATGAAACTCATAGGACGGACTTAAAAGATGACTTGGCCCTGGCACGCAAAATCCAGACCCTCGGTTCCCCCGGCCACAAAAGATAACATTTCCTGGAACTGCAAATATCCCCAGTAAAAATCAGCAACCAGCAGTTGGAAAGGAACCAATATAAAGTATGTTTTAGACCTAGACGAGGGAAGCCTAAGTTTAGAACACCAGATTCCCTGGACCCCTTCTTTCGGTCCCCACCCCGAATTTCGGATGACGTTTCTTGGCCCCCACTGAATCCAGGGAGCCAAGACTTTGGAATACTATAGGTAGTAACGAGGTATACCTTCTGTTACAATTTGAGCCAAATCAGGCGGTTGGACCGGAAGTTATTAGCATTTGGGAGAAACACCTCTTAGACCGGAAAAGGGCATTTTACGCAAATAATTTTAAGCAAGGGTATATCGATTTTACGGCGGCAATAGACACTACAAGTCATCTCAGAAAAAGAGATCTGGTAAGTAAAACCCCTCCGACGGCTCCTTTGATAATAGATTTTTCCCGAAAAAAGTGATAATAGATATTAGAAATGGACTGACTGGGAAATATAAACGGGACATGGATGTAACTTGATTGGTAGAACCCCTTTGAGATTCCAAACCTGAATGTGGAAGATACACCTCGGGTGGACCAAGGGTGACCTTGAAATCATCTCTGTGAGTTTAGGAATAAAATTGCATAGACAACTTTGGGGTTTACACCGGAAAGTGACGTATTGCCCCTTCTTCCAGCCCTTGGGTATAAAAAATTCTCACCTTACTAATATTAGGGAGGAATCTAACCTTTTTGGAGTTGAATCAGAAGCCGAAAGATTAATAGCTTTTACAATATGGCATCGAAGTAAA